CTTACTATACATACCATAGTACGTAGTATAAAGTTTTCAATAAACGTGTTGAAGAGATGTGAATCATTTATTTTGTATGGTGTTTATTGATGACATTTTAACATAATGGGAAGGGGGCGGAACAAAAAGTTTCACCAAAAATGAAATGCAATATCTGTAAATTTCAGTCATTGAAAGAAGATCTAATTGCCTGAAATCCTTCATAAGTGGTTTATTATAAGTGTGTGAACAATGTCTTCCTTACTTTTTCAAAGTGGTATTCAAAACTTTTTTTTAATTTTTTTTTTAAACCACACATTCTCGTAAATGATTCGATTAAATTCATGCGAATGCTCGTTTTTTTTTTTATTGCACAAATGTTTTTATATCTGTATACCATGTTGTGTGATTTCTGCCCAGACAGCATTATTTTAATTCCTATGTTTTAGTACCCCATACGCGCTAAATATAATTTCATCATACTCTCCTAACATACAAAATATAGAATGTATTATTTCTCTAGGCCTGTATTTAATTCCATACTTTGTCTAAGTAAAACTCGTATCAAAAGTTTTTGCTTAGCTAAGAAATTGACCCATCTCGTATTCAAGCACTATTTAAGACATTTACTTAGTCAGACTACATCTAAGTAAATACTTAGCCAAAGTACGTAATTGAACGGAACGCATGCCATTTTTTAAACTTGAACATCGAATGAAATACTGAGGCCGTATTCAATTCAGTACGAAGCCTACGTTAGTATCTTACTTGGCTTAAGTCTGCTCGGGATCTGTCTTAAACTTAGGGTAAAATGCGTAGCCAAAGGCTTCGATTGAATGCCAAAGTTGGCTAAGTATTTTATCTTAGTCGAAAACTAAGTAAAACGCTCATATTACTGACATAAGTACTGTGAATTGAATACCAGCCCTGGTTTTCAGATATAAAATTAAGCAAGGATCATACGGAAAATGAAAAGAACACATTGGAAGTGAAGCAAGTTATTATCAGTGACTATACTTCTAATTACACTCATAAGTTTCAAGAAAAAGCTCGTAATGCTTCGCCCGTATAAGAGATGGGGATGACATACTGTGTGAATCAAACAAAAGTTTACACCTAGAAAATTGCTAATTATTTTAAAGATATCTATGAACAGTGAATTGTTAAACATCTTATGGAAGAGTGTGTTATCCCAAATCATTTGGTATCATTTTTGTGTGGTATGTGTTCACGTTTGGATGAACAGGAGGCATTGTTTGCGAGAGTGCAGAAATCGACTTGCGCCAAAGTATATATATATCAATGTGATATATTGCGTTCCATTGTGTGACTGTATTGTGTTGCATTTCCAGGTATTACAATTGTGAAGATAAAGAAAACCTGCCCGAGTGAGGGATTTTTTTTTAACTTAAAAAAGAGAAAAAAATTAGCTGAAATACTATAAACGTAAGCTTTGATTAATTGAAAAAGGGTAGTGAATTTCATTCTGATCTTTTTAAAAATGAAAATAATGCTTAAGAATGTGAAATTTAATTTCCCACTTTTTACTAAATAATGAACAATGATTTGTTCATTTTGAAAAAATAAGCTGTTTAAAGTGAGAGAATGAATGGAATGTATCAAATGAGATGCAAATTACATATGCTTTTTGCAGAAGCAGAGTCACACACACACGCGCGCACAAAATGTTGTTTGATATTATGTGTGGCATTTAAGTTAGGGATGTTATTTGGACCTGCAAAGACCGAATTAATACCCAAATTCCAATTGTTTTATTCAAACATCACATAAGTAGCTTTCGCGCAAGTCGGTTTTTGCACTCTCGCAAACGATGCCTCCTGTTCATCCAATCGTGAACACATACCACACAAAAATGATACCGAACGATTTGGGATAAAACGTTCTTTTATAAGATGTATAATAATTTACTGTTCATAGATGATTCTTAAAATAATTAGCAATTTTCTAGGTCTAAGCTTTTTTTTTGGACTCACTCTGTATTGGCTTTAAATGTAATCTTCGATCTTTATGACACCTAAGGGAAAAAATATTTAAAAGGCTTTTTTTTCTCTATGTGCATTGACGAAATGCAACGAAATATGTTGGATAAATGAAACTCTTAACAATAAATGAATAAATGCGAAGTATGGATGTCATCCGGTCAACTCTTACTATAGAGAAGTGCAAACTATTGTATATTCTAAGAATTCCCTAATCTAAGTCCATGGCGTAATAATGTGTAAATATTTGAAAGCATGCTGATCTATTAATAGTAACTAATGCATTAAATTCATATAATTTAAGTGCGCCTTGGATATATTTTGTGGTTGTTTCACGATTTTTTCTTATAAAATCAGTATTTCGCCTTTTTATTTTACTCTAAAAAATAATTGCGCAAATACAGTCAACATTTATTTAGATCGATCTATTCCTTTACCACAGAAATAGATTTAAAAAACTGTTGCACTGAAAAAATGACAAATATAGGAGGGGAATGACTTGAATTTTTAGTAGTTACCTTTGTTCGTATACCGGTATATTGTGTATAATTATAGTTTTATAAAATCAAAGAAATTCATCATTAATCACTTTCGGAGACAACATGATTTTCAGTCCCAGTAAAATCAATTTGGCCACGTGTGCTTGTTTACTCTGTTATCCACGCAGATGAGGTTGACATGAAAAGAAGGAAAAAATTACAGGAAAATATCGATTTCAGCTTTTCTTGTCGATTACAACATTCAATTCAATTCAATAAAGGTTCAATTATTCGAACGTGTTTCGCAGTACAAAGACTGAATTACACACGTTAGGCCTGTACAAAGATTAAAATACATTGTAATTACAAATTGCAATAGTGAATGATTCATTGAATACCAAATTAAATTAAATACTTTACATTGATAAAATCGAAGGTAATTAATGTCATATAACATGTTGAAAGATGTAAAAAAAAAATATATATACAAACAGTATTATCAATGCATATTCAATTAACATATTAATTTCCTGCTATCAACGAAAAATATTGCACGATAACAAAGTATTAAGAGGTCGAGGAGAAAGAAGAAGAAATAGTAAGAGAGAGAGAGAGAGAGAGAGAGATAGAGAGAGCGAGAGAGAGAGAGAGAGGGATAGAGATAGAGAGAGATAGAGAGAGAGAGAGATATAGAGAGAGAGAGAGATAGAGAGAGAGAGAGAGAGAGAGAGAGCGAGAAAGAGAGAGAGAGAGAATAAGGGAGAAATAAAAATATAGGTATTGAATATGGAGAAAGAGTACAGTATGGTAAACGTATAAACATAGAAAAACATAGAAAAAAGCAGTAACTTGGCAGCAACATAGTCCTAATACAAATTTGGAACAGGTCAGATAGATCGAGTATTACAAAAATGATAGACGACTGTTACAAGCTTTGATTCGTATGATGATCATTGAGTATACGTGTGAGATTGGGAAGGGCACTATTTTGGAATCTCTTAGTTCTGCATGCACGTAAATTCTTGATATTTTTTGACATTTCGTAAATTGATTGGTTATTTTTTTAGGAGGTAACCACGATTGACATAACATATTTTTGTCAAATGAAAAAGCAAAATCTTTAGTCAGTTTTTCTCTACGAGTCAAAAGAGATGGCAGTTCTAGTCTTTCTAATGTATTGTGATAAGAGCTGTAGTTTGATCCAAAACTTATTCTACATGCTCTTTTGGTACACTTTCTATATCATTAATCTGTCTGTAAGTCAAACTTGGCAGAAAAAGAGGTACACAGTACTCCAAAATTGGTCCTACATATCCAATATATACGGTTAACATTGGTCACAAACAGTTAGGATGTAAGTTTTTAATCTATACATACTAATGAATAATTTTCTATTACTGTTCTTCAGTTAAATCGCCACCCAAAGGCCAAGAATCTTAACCATATTATGCTCACAGTATGTATATTTGACTGAGACCCCTGGGATGACTATTTCCTTGGTCGTTAAGTCAGATTTTACATAGTTTGAATGTTCGTATCAAATGCTGATTGTAAATTCTACAAAAATCTGGTCGTATAGACTATAGTGTATAGGTGGGCTAAATTTTGTTTTACCGCTTTTCGATTGTTTGTTTGTTGGTTATAGTTATTTAACCAACAAAAATGTATCATTACTCTATAATTCCTTTCTGTTTCTGCGCACATTGTTTGAGTTTAAGTACAGTGTTCGGTGTTGGTGTTAGTGTTTTCACAACACCAACACCAGCTTTCGACACCGATCTTCAAACCAGGGGCGGATTTAGCCGGCGGAAACGGAAAGCCAGGGCCAAAGAGGCAGGCACGTAGCCACGGGGGGGGGGGGGGGGGGGGGGGGCACGTGCCCCTCAAAAAATTCCAGGATCGGTTGAACTAGTTAGACCCCTTTTTTTTTACCTCGATCGATTACATGTATGTGCCCCCCCCCCCAAACATCAAACTCTGGCTACGTGCCTGCAAATAGGGGGCCCAATTCTTGAGAAAATATTTAGCGGGGGGGGGGGAGTGAGCACTCATCTTCTTTTTTTGCTCAACGAGGAGAGGAAAGTGCCCACTATTTTTTGTTTTGTTTTACTCAACACCCAACCCCCTGAGCACACACAAACACAAAAAAATAACGTGTTTTCACCAGCTTGTTTACCCAGGGAAAGGGGCTCCCGCCCCCCCCCCCAACTGGCGTACCTATGGGGGCAGGGGGGGCAGAGTGCCCCCCTGACGGGCTCCAGGGGAAAAAAGAAAAAGGGGAAAGAAAAGAAAAGAAAGGAAAGGAAAGAAAAAGAAAAAAGGAAAAGGGAAGAAAAAAGGAAAGGAAAACAAATGGGGAAATTTTTTAAAAAAAGACAATGGCCGTACGCACCAGGGGGGGGGGCAGTTGACCCCAGATATTTTGAAAAAGGTACAGTTTTTTTCCTGAAAATGTAGTGTAGGCCTATACCAAATCCTTCAATTCTACTTTTGAAAATGCATAACTACCCTCATGACCAGTTCGGTCGCTCGAGCTCCCTTCACTCCTTTTGCTTTTGAGATTCTTCGAAAACTTTTAACGCATCTTTCCCCCTCCCCCACCAGAAAAATATTCCGCATACGGCCCTGAAAAATTAAGACAAATGAAAATAGGAAAATATAAGTGATATAACAAATTCGAAACTCTTCGCTGGCGCGAACTGCTTGCTAGCCTATTTTGTATTAAATGTTTTCACTTGCTCGTCCCCCTGAAAAAAGAAAAGGATTAGTATTGCCTAGAATACAATTGTGCCTGCCCCGACGGGCCCCGACCTGCAACCATGGCAACAATAACACACAATGTATGTACCAAATGTTACTAAAAGAGACTAATTCATTTTTCTCGCTCGCTACACTCGCTCGCGAATAAAATGAATAGACATTGCTTTGGAAACAATTGTTCCCACCCTTGACCTGCAACAATATCATTAAAAATGGAAGAGTTTTTTCGCCCTCTCGCCAAAAAGGAATTGAATCGCGTTAAACGCGATTGCGTCCATCCTGACCTGCACCAATAAAAACAAGTTTATTTATTAATTTCTATTAAAAGAGATTTTTTTTTTTTTTTTTGCTTGCTCGTTATGCTCGCTCGTCAAAATGGAATTGACACCGCCAACGTGCCCGCCCCAACCTGCAACAACCAGTTAATAATTATGTACCAAACGTTATTCAAAGAAGTTTTGGTGTGCTCGTGCTCGCCAAAACGGAATTAACATCACCTTAGACATGATTGTGTAAGCCCTGCCCTGCAACAAAAAAATCTGAAATTTATGAACCAATTATCATTACAAAAATTTTGCTCGCTCGCTACGCTCGCTCGCCAAAATAGAAATAACACCGCTTTTAATAATCACGTCCCTGACATGGAACAATGAACCCAAGTTTATATACCATATTTTCCGTATAAAAGAGAAGTGATTTTTTTGTGCTCGCTCGCTACGCTCGCTCGCCAAAATAGAAATAACACCGCTTTTAATAATCACGTCTCTGACATGGAACAATGAACCCAAGTTTTATGTACCATATTTTCCCTATAAAAGAGAAGTGATTTTTTTTTCTCGCTCGCTACACTCGCTAGCTCGTGGAATTATGTGCCCACCACTAACCTGCTACAATATCATTAAAAAGAGAAATGTAGGGGGTTGCCTGCCCGCCAAAATGGGATTGACATTGCCTTAAACACGATTGTGCCCGCCCCCTTCCTGCAACAATGAAACAAATTTTATATAGCAATTCATTGAGAGAAAGATGTATTTTCGCTCGCTAGCTAAAATGGGTATAAAATCACCCTAAACACAATATTGTTCCCGCGCCCTGCATGGGACAATTGAACAAAGTTTAAGTGGCAATTATTAAAAAAGAAGTGATTTTTTTCTTGCTCGCTACACTCGTTTGCAAAAAAATGAAATTAACGTCGCTAACAAGTGAATGTTCCCACCCCCAACTTGCAACAATACCAGTTTATATACCAAACGTTACTTAAAGATTTTTTTTTGCTCGCTCGCTCGCCAGAAGTGAAAATTAGCATCGCCTTTTTTTGTTTGTTTCGGTCGCTTGCCCCCCCCCCCCTGACGGAGTACCCCAGGTACGCCACTGCCCCCCCCCCCCCTGGATCCGCCACTGTCTTTGCTCTTTATCCATGCACCGTCGCCCTTGGATGTATTCACGAGATATCCTATTATCGACCTTCTAAGTTCTACCGTACCCAACTCAATTATCAACTAATACTTCTTGCTCAGCTCAGCTAAAATCCGGAAGAGCACAGCCGATTACAAAACTAAAATTAAAACTAAAAACATTATTCTTCTTATATTGAGTATCATTATTGGAGAATGACAGCTTCTGGTGTCAACTTAGCGGCTGATGCCTTTATGGTGTGCCTCACCCATGCATTTTCTACTGAAAGAGAAGAAGTTATGGGGTTGTGCATTGGAGAGGTGGGTTTACCTAGTCCCATATGTTGAAATTTGTGTTAGTTGAACAGTGTAGTCAAAGTATATATGCAATGAGAAGTATATTTCTAGACTAGACCCTACATTTTAAATTATATTTTCAGTCTCGATTATTCATGATGTGCTTGTTGAAATATGTTTTGCGAAAATGACAAATGCCGCTGTGATAATGTACAAAACAGGGTTCATTGTATTGTTCTGAATTAAGTAAGGGCCAAGCAACTCAAAAATGAAAACAAAATAAAAACCACAAAATTGAAAATGTAAAAGTTCAATCTTTGGTAAATGCGTGAAAATCTGCTCAGAAATTACTTGCTATTTGAACATTTATTGAATTGATATAATGTAAATGAATTATTGAGGATTTTCACAATGGAGATCTTGTAGTAGTTTGATTTCAAATACACTTCTTTGTAAATCTAGAGAAGTTTTCCCTTCGCCAAATTAGAGCTTTAAATGAAGAAAAATACAAGTATTGATTCCAAATATTCAAAGTCCATTGTTAATCAATGTGTGCCTTTTCATCGTTCATTGATATTTTATTCATTCATTCTTGTTTATTATCTTTACAGATTGACACTAATAAGATAGTACACATCGTTTCAGTGATCATGCTGCGTAGATCAGATAAGAGGAAAGATAGAGTAGAGATATCTCCAGAACAACTCTCGTTTGCAGCGTCTGAAGCTGAGATATCCTTTTGACCACACATAGCTGCATTACTATCCTTGGGAGTGTTTCACAAGGATCATAAGTTGAACTTATCTCTAAGTTGGACTTTACAATTATGGAAAGCCGTTGGCATCATCGAAAATATTTTGTAGAAATTATTTTAAAACACATGAAATGTTGATTCAAATCATTCATATTGTCTATAATCAAGGAGCTTTCATGTACAAGTGTATCTGGGATACATACAAGGTTATAACCTCACAAAGCTCTTTTCAAAATACTCATATTGTTTGTATCAAATCTTAAACAAGGAAGGAGAAAGATGCTCATTTTTACACTTGTTTGTTAAAAGTAAGGTAAAGCTGTTGAATATGTTTCATTCAGGAGGGGAGGGCCTTTCTTCCCTTTTCTCTGTATTAGTATGGTGCTGTGTTGCATTTGTTTCAAAGCTATTTTTCCTCTCTTTTATTAACAGGGAAAGATGTGAACTGTTAACAATCAAACTTTCTTATGTATATCCAGTACATGTTTGAAGAGAGAGAGAGGGGGAGGGGGGGGGGGTGGTATTGGGAGGGGATTTTCTCTTGATGATCACTTATGAGAGTGGGATAGATAGCTTCTTCAAAGCAATTTTACATTCCTTAACGATTATATTTACAGATTAGCACAAGAGATGAAACGGCCCCTTAGGGTAGTGGGTTGGTACCACTCTCACCCTCACATCACAGTTTGGCCCTCGCATGTTGGTAAGTATAGTTGTGTTACATAACTGAACAATACATTGGTTTTACCTTTAACCCTTTTAGGACAGGAATTATTTAAAGGTTAATATTTTTTGCTGACATTGGAAAAACTGGCATTAAAAATGCATATAGATGAAATATTGTACATGAACAGATATTATATCAACAAGTTAAGAAATTACAAATTAATATTTTTAAAAAACATTGATTTTCAGCCTCTCAAAATGTTGCCAACCTCAGAATCTAGCAATTTATTTTCATTGTAAAATTCCCTGCATCTATTGCAATATTTAAATGTGTTACATGCGTGTGCATGCTCTTTCTACTCATGCATCTGGGGGTGTTTCACAAAGATTCTAAGTCGAACTTAACTCTAAGTTGGACTATGGACAATTATGGAGAGCCATTTGAAGCCTTAAAATAAATATATTCAAAAGCAAAAATTCAAGTATTTTAGACTTTTCATAAATTCCCAATCAAGAACATGAAATCTCCCATGATAATAGAAAATATGAATGATTTAAATCAACATTTTATGCCATATTTAAAATAACTTTTGAAAAATATTTTCAAAAATGCTAATGGCTTTCCATAATTGTTAAGTCCAACTTAGTTCAACTTAGGATCTTTGTGAAACACCCCCCTGGTATGAACATTTTAGTGCTCTGAATCAAGTGTTATTGAGACAAACCACAAATTGTTGGCATTCGTCACAATAAAAGTTTAGTAGTACCGAGTTAAGCACGTATAATTAATGATATTAATAATATGCCATTCTGGTATAGTGCATATCCTATGAAGTATTGTCTTTTAATATGCACTTTCGAGGGACTTATATATTACTACCCTGGCTTTAGCTCTGTCAAACGTAGCGCTCAGTGCATTTAAGGAATAAATCCCACCAGGTACTGCTTACTACACTTGGGTAAAGTGTGGCAAATGTAGATTAATGTCTTGTCAAAGGACGTTGGTTTTTAATGGCAGGGATTGGAACCCTGTGTCTTGTGGTTCACAATCTGGAGACACGTCTCCTAGACCAAAACACCTCTATGTATAGATGCACAATGCATTCAAACCATCTACTAGTCCAAAACACCAGAGCTAAAGCCAGGGTAGTAATATCCAAGTCCCTCGAAAGTGCATATACAGTGCATAGAGACATATTGTGATATGGGCTATATAAGTATGGTATATTATTATTATTATTATTACCTCTATGTATGGATGCACAATACAATCAAACCATTTTCTAAAAGATATCTCATGACTACTACATCCTGTCTTTGTTTTTGACTCCTAGATGTCCAAACTCAAGCATCATACCAGCTGCTTGATGAATGCTTTGTAGGTTTAATCTTCTCATGTTTTAACGACGACAACTCAACCAACCAGGGCCTCATCCAGGTCACCTGTTTTCAGTCCATCAACCAGAATCCAGAGGGAGAGGCACCTCAGTAAGATTTTGTTCCATCCTCTGTTTATATTAAAGCTCCACTGCACTACTTGAAGCTACTTGCGCCCTCTATATAACAAACAATGCCTAATCGGTGACCATTGGTGCCCCATGATCCTCTTTTTCTAATGTTAACTGAGAGCTGAGTTGATGAGATAACCACCTGTCCAGTGACCTTGCAGGGCGTTCTAATCCCTCCTGTAAACTAGTACAGATAAGATTTAAGGCCGTCTGTACTAGTTTGGCCAAGAGGGATGAAACCACCCAGGGTAGTCACTGACAGGTGGCTATCTCCTCAACTCGGCTCTCAATTAACATCAGAAAAAGAGGATCATGGGGGACCAATGGTCACCAATTAAGCATTGTTTTCTATATAGAGGGAGCAAGTAGCTACAAGTAGTACAGTGGGGCTTTAATATATATTTACCCTAACCCGTACAATTGCAGAATAACCCATGACACAACTAACTCCGATGCTAACCCAAATAACCTGTATTGATGTATGATCACAGTTGAGCCTACATTTTTGTCATTTTATAGGTGCACAGATTTGTTTTCAGGAGTAATGCACAATCTGTCTGTATTTTAAAGCTTTCATAATATTTGCTGGAATCGTTTAAAACATCTTTCAACAGTATGATTGCAAGGCCCTTAGGGAGAACAGTATTAATACTGATGATCCTTCCCTGGGTTAACAAGATTTTTCATTATTAGTAGTATTAAAAGTAATAGTACTTATAGTTTTAATATCTAATGATTTAAAAAAAAAAACCTTGCCAGTAAATTCAATATTTGAGTTGTTATGTTTATTGTGGGGGGGGGGGGGGGGGGAATCTTAACTCAACTTGTTGGCAATGGTTATATACCATGAAAATATGATGAGTACTATGAAACCATGTAACAACTTCTTGGGACACAGGACATGTGTGTGTGTTATTGAAATCAGAGATAAAAACATATTAGATACAATATACTAAGATGCAGGACTAGTAAAATATTCTGGGTTATATCAAGTCTTTTATTAATTTATGTAGTCCACTGTACCATGCTCATCACCCCATAAACTTCATATATTTTTGTTCTCTGTTTGTAGGTATGAGAGACTGGAGATTGCACTTCACATCATTCCACAGCAAACCTTTGGCCGGGCATGTCTAGACGCCTTGGCCGAGTTACCACGGATACTGACCATGGAGGAGGGGGAAGCATACGGGAAGGCCAGCGATTCAACGCAAGGGCATCTCCTGACAGCTATACACAATGGTGCAGGTGAGATCACCCTCTGTAATGCCGTTTAGTTGATCTACTGTGTTGTAAAACAAAACACTTTTAGGTATTGACATTGAGTTTGCAGATTTTGTAAGTGATTCAGACTGTTAACAATTTCATGCAACTACATTATTGGATTCCAACAGACATGCTTAATGTTGGCGAATTCTGTGAGTGATTCATACTTGCAAAAATGTTACGCCACAACATTTTTGAACTCCAACGGATGAAATTTAATGTTTGTGAATTTTGCAAGTGATTCAGAGTCGTGAAAGTTCACATGCCATGAATCAAGTCAATTACAACTGACACAACACTGTATTTCTTTTCATTCATAAACATTTGTTGCTGGGAAAAGGGCTGACACTTCATGAAGGTCCTAAACTAAGAAGTGTGTTGACAAATGTATTGTATACAACTTTTAACCAAAAATGCATTATCTTTCTTTATTGTCTGCTTGCTATTGTTTTGAAAAACATTTTGAAAAACGTCGTGTCGTTTGATTAAATATTGTTTGATGGACTTATGAAAATATTGGGTGATATCTTGTGATATTTGCTATTGTATTTGACTACACGTATCTTATTTCTCTATCTCATTCCTACTACAGTGTACACAAAATCGGTTTGTCACCAGCTAGAGAGACTGACAGGGCCGTTACTGCAGACATTAGAAAACAGACTTGAAAAGAACATGCAACTCATCGAGGATATGGAACGGGAAAAGAAACAGTTGATGGAGGAACTGAAAACGGGCAGCTCATGAACTTGGTACCATGGATATGTTCTATCAGACAATTGGGATCATGAAGCCAGGGGATATTCTTGCCCTAATTTTCATCGAAGCTGTCAACAATGGACCCTTTTAAATCTGGCGGGTTGTGAACTTAGTACATTGATATGTGATTGAGGCAGTGCACCTGATGTCACAAGCTTCCCAGCTTGAGTATGTTCTGACCAAGATCTTCACCCTCGTACAAACCATCTATAAACGACCCTCAGAATGCTAGCAGCTTATGAAACTCTATACCATTGATGTTATATTGAGGCACTGCATCTGATGTCACAAGCTTCCCAGCTTGAGTATGTTCTGACCGAGATCTTCACCCTCGTGTAAGCCATCTATAATGGACCCTCAGAATGCTAGCAGCTTATGAAACTCTATGCCATTGATGTGTTTATTGAGGCAGTGCATCTGACGTTACAACCTGCCTTGCCCGAGGATGTTCCTGCTGCAATTGTTGCCTGAATCATCATCAATGGACCCATCTAGTGAAGCTGTGTCGTCCGTTCATGTTTTTTTTGGCATTTGTTGTGATCTTGTTCAACATGGATGGACCCGTAAATGCATCTTTCAATATGTGTCTTCTGCCGCTGAAAGAAGTATTAATGGGACAAACATATAGACCAGGGTTTCTTCACACACACAAAAAAAATTTGCTGACTGTCCAGATGTAATTCTTCTTTTTCTTCTTATTCAAGATAATCTGCCTCCTTCAATACTAAAGATTCTTGCAGATGCCGTATATACTTGACCTGATTGGGGTATGTAGGTGGACCACTACACCATGGTTTCCCCCTACTCTTATACAAATAGTGCAGTGGGTTCTTTACGTGTAAGAGGGGTGACTCTCCTGTACACTGGCCTCCATTTAAAGTCATATCCGAGGGATTACCATGAAAGCTAAAAGATCTGAAACAAGGGATGCCATTTGGGCGCCAAAATTCTGCATTCGTATACGAGGTCATATGAACTTTGTTTTAGACACAATCTACTCCTAAAATTTACAGTTCTGACACTTGTAATACTAAGAAAATTATCTTTGTTCAAGGTCTTTATCTGATCCAAGGGGAATAGCTACAATTTTCTTTTTAAAGCAGATCCTTCCAGGTGGTTCACGGTCAAGACTTTGAAAAGTGCGGACAAAATGACTTTCTTAGGCCCTCTTGAGCACGATTAATTGGGTATTGCTTTGTTACTACTAGGCTGCTATTATATTTGAGTACTAAATTGTTACAATGTTTATATTTTGTGTCAAGCATAAAGAGCAGAATTAAAGTGAATTTTATGTACTAAAATGGATAGTGATATTATTAAACATTCATGAATCTCATTCTGATTTGTCTGTATTGAATTTTTAATCTGTGATTGTACGGTTTGCTATGATGTGCTCCCTCTTAAAGGTATTACAAAGTTTTGGTATGGGGTCATGAATTTGGTTCAAATTAACATATTGGAAGCATATGCATTTCTACAATATTCATTGATCGTTGTCGCGGTTGAAATTGAGTCTAAAGTTATGAAATAATAAATAATAAACTCTTTATGTTGTATAGCTCCCTCTCAAGGTCAAGATATTAATTTAGCTATGAAACGATGTTTCTTGAATAAAATCGACCGATTAGCTATTTCCGTTTGGAAATTATATATCACAACTACATATTCTGAGATTTTCATGGTCGCAGCTACCATTGTACGGCCATAGGCGCTATTTGAAATTCATCAAAATTTATTGTATATCATTCAAAAACTTCAAATGTCTAGTTTCAGAAAATGCACAAGAAGGTCTTGACAACTTCTTGATTTTGAGTTCACTGTATATGCCAGTATCATGATAGACCTGCTTGAGGACTTTGTAGGTGTAGAATCCATTGATTTCATTCCTTTACCCGGGGGGGGGGGGGGGGGGGGGGGGGGGGGGGGGGGGGGGGGGTTGTTTCACAAAGACTAAGATCGACTTTAAAGGTACTATGTCCCATTTGCAGGCCAAAAAATGAAAAGGTTAAATTCCAACGGCATTTGAAAGATAAAACTAATTTAAACTTCCCTAAAAAAATGGGGGCTTGAAAATGTCTTTAATTGGGAAAATGACGGCTATTAGTTGTCGATTCGACTTAGGAGCTATAGAGCCAATAAGTAATAGTCTTGATTTTCAGACCATTGTACCGAATGGTCGTACGTTTTATGCTGCGCAAAGTTTCAATCAGTTTAATCTTGGCCATTACAAGAAGTGGGTTATTGATGTAGAAAAATGCTCATCAGGGCTCAAATTAATTTTTTGTCCACGGGGGCTCTTCCCCCGAAAAAGAGTCCCCGTGAGCCTTCTCACGGGGGCTCTTTTATGACTGACGGGGGCTCTTTTTATACAAATATCCATTGAATTGGTACCTATGATAGTCCTCAATTATTTGCTATTTCATCATTATCATTTCAATCAGCATTTTCCCTCTTACAAATTTACAAGCTACATAGCTGTTACTGGCCTGTGTATATAATATATACGCATACAACACTGATCTTTATGATGTCTTTAACGTGACATATCTTCTTCTCCCCTTGCAAACGAAAAAGAAAACATGGTCATTAAAAGGGATTAAGCGACAAATAATGATTGTGATTCAAATTGATGCGAATATTTGTTTGAATAAGCTATTTACCCGAATCTTCTTTGTAAAAACAACTTTTACAAATCTCAGCCATGCTTACTGAGTTGAGACGTTCCATTCAATTTAAAATACCCATTACATAATACACTTCTGCTAATCTCAAAGTGATCTTACAGCACAGTGGCAGAATTGCATGGCTGGAATTAGTAAAAGTCGTTTTTACAAAGAAGATTCTGGTGAAAAGCATTGCTTATTCAAAAAAATCCTTGCATCAATTTGAATCACAATGATTATTTGTCGCATGGTCCTTTTATTAAATAACCTTGTTTTATGTTTTGTTTGCAGAGGGAGAAGAAGCTATGTCACATTAAGAAATCATAAAGAGCAGTTGTATTATGCGTATATACATATGATACCAGAACAAATGTTGATTATCAGAATGTCATTTTGGAATACCTCTATACAAATACCACATTGTCTTTAGCCCGTATCAGTATTAGTATGATCCAATATAAAGCTATTATTCTTTATTTAATTCAGTATAATGCTTTTCCTCAAAAATAATTTTGCTATTTTTTTAGGGTCGAGACGCTAAGAAATGGTTTCAAATGTACATTACACAAACCCTGAACCATTGCAAAATGATGGTGGTTCTCTCTCTCTCTCTCTTTATTTTAATCATGCATTATCAACTACATATAAAGCAGCAACCAAAAACTTAGGGTTATCTGAGATAGGTGAAAGTAAGAGTTAAAAAGAAAGTCATGCTAAAACGGCGCTTCACTTCCCCGCCCCCTGAAAAAAATAAAATAGATTAGTAGTCCTCCTCTCCAACATTTTCACTTGGCAGCCCAAGGGGGCCGGAGGGTGGGAGGAGGGGGTTAAACCCCCTACCCCCCCCCCCCCCCCCCCCCGCCGTAGATCTGCCCATGTTACCATATCATTCCACGACATTTTGGTCTTCCTCTTCTCCTCAAAAGGGACTTTTAGATTTGCGTGGACGTGGACGTGTTGCGTCCTTGTAAGGCACTGGCAATCACATCCTTTTAAGCACTGGCAGTGTCTTAAAAGGAGGTCACACTTTGCAGTCCACGTTCTCATCGTGCAAATCTAAAAGTCCCTTATTTTGATTTACTGGTGGAGGTTCATTATTTGCTGACAACGAAAAACTTCTCCTGGCCATGACCATGTTTCTGCCCTTGCCCGATCGCCTCCAGCTCCAGCAGACATGGCGCGGCAGCGTGCACACGCACCGCTACTAACGGCGCAGTAGGCCTATAACCACTGCTGACGGCGGCACTGCACTGCGAGCTGAATCGGTAATAGGCCTACTCATAAAACGAGAAATCTTGCACGCTAATCTTAGTTCCATTTCATTGGTTTAAGGTTTGAAAATTGAAACTCAATATTGTGTTAAAGTTATAACAGAAAAGATTATCTTTATTTTATAATTCCACCGGGGCGATTTTTAATTTTGCAATCGCCCTCGTGAGCAACCTGACGGGGGCGATTTTGTAGCTCACGGGGGCGAATCGCCCACCGCCCCCGTGTATTTTGAGCGCTGATGCTCATGTACCTTTTACAGTTCATTGTATGTATTTTATTAACAAAGAAGAAGAAAAAAGCCAGTCAGTCACTGAATAGTGTCTGACAGTGAAGTCTAGCAAGTAAACGGGTTCCTTGCATAATTTGAATATTAGGACACTGTTAAAGGGACATAGTATCTTTAAGTTGGACATAACTATGGCAGGCCATTCATGCCACTGGTTACTCTCACAATTATGATTGTTAGATAATATTTTTTTCCTTCAATAATGAATTATAAAACAATGTAAATTCTGTGGATTTGTGACCACGATTTGTACATCCCTTGAGAGACCAATGCCAGTAGATGGTGAGAGCAACCAGTGGCATGAACGGCCTGCCATAATTAAGTCCAACTTAAAGTGGATCTTAGTCTTTGTGAAACACCCTCCTGATCAGTATAAGCAAAGGTAGCTGGGTCATTCTATGATTACAAAAATCTTGATACACCTGTACTACGCAGTGAAGAAACATTACACATGCAACAAAGAGCACATTTCTCTGGATTTTTAGAATTTCATAGATTATCTTTATTAACACTGTACAGTCACAATAAATACATTTTGGAATCAGAAATCAGAAAATACATGTACATATATATTTGCAATTTTGCATTCAACATGGAAGCACACAGCAATTGATGATAAACAAGTATATTATGAAGCACATACACTTCTGCTGATGACCAGGCACCAACACAGATCTGTAAAACACAAGCAATATTTTCTATACAGTGAGTTGAATGAATTAGCTATGCTATACAGGGAATTATCCACGCACCAGTAACAAAACAAAAAGGAAGGAGTGGGGAGGAGGAGGTTCATACTGACGGATATCACACATGTAGATCTACCATCTGAAGATGAAGCATAGGTCATGTTGCTCTGAACTCGTCTAGGAATTCGCTAAAGCATCTGAAGTCTTTTGTTCAGATCCCACACATGCGCCCTGAGAATCTGTTCAACTTGCTACTCGGTCCACCCTATGGAAAAAGTGTCATTGTGGATGATATAACTGTCCCATTACTCATTCGCTTTCCACTAGTCTCTGAGAGTGCTGGATAAAGCAGCAGAAGTATTTAATACCCAAACCTGCCTATTTGTATTTACTGCTGGATGTATTGGGTCTACCATATGAAAAAGAAACGTAGGTCACCCATCTCTGTTGCTTCGGGCTAGTCTTGGGAGTATTTAACTAAAAGCAGCAGTGTCTCAAGTTCTAGAATCTGGGCATGTCCATTGAGAATCCATCCATTGCCGTTTGGTCCACCACCCATTGCAGAATCACACATACATCATGTGTCTCTGTTGCTTTGTGCTAGTCTCTGAGAATGTTTTGCCAAAGCATCTGTGGTTTTCTGTTCTAGATCCTGTACATGTGCACTGAGAATCCGTTCAAGTTCTGCCTGGTGCTCTTGATCTTCCTGAAGGAATCGTGTTCCCACTGATTCCCTTGATGGTGGTCTCTGAATAGGATCAGATGAAAAAGAAGATTTATAGAAATAATATATATAAATATATATATATAATAATAAATTGTTTCTTTTATAGCGCTATATCCATTTACAACTTATCAAAGCGCTTTACAAAACAAATACATCAATGGATTAAAACTCAACAAAAATATGATAGAAAATGTAATGCAGTTAATTACAATGTAAATAGGTGTGTTTTGAGATGTTTCTCAAATACTTCAATTGACAAACTACAGCGTAATTCACAAGGTCACCTATTCCATGTAACCGGGCCACTGTAGTGAAAACTTCGCTCACCCATATTCTAGGCACCTGTATATCACCCATTTGTGATGTTACATGTAATTTGACATGTACCGTGTGAGTCCAAAAAAAGTTTACACTCAATGGCCCGAATTCACAAAGGAGGTTTGTCGACAAACCTAGGTTTTATATGACGCGCCTTCTATGGTTTTCAGACAAACCTTGGTCTGAAACACGTCAAAACAAACCTCCTTTGAGAATTCTGGCCAATGGGAGGGGAGCTTGCAAGATATGTCATGGAGTTGCAATTTGTGTTTGATTGATCGCAACTTCAAAATTCATAACTTTCTTAATTCTTATCGGAATTCGCTCAAAATTCCACTGACCTATTCCTCCCATTTTTTTGCTTCTATTAAAACCAACTTAATATCAGGGTGGACTTGCCCTTTAACACCTGTACGTACATTACTCCTCATATCTTTTGACATCAGACCCATGTCAGATAAACTGGAGACGTCAACGGATGAGATGCCATCTTCCATCATGTTTTCACGCCCAATGAGGCTGTCGAAGGTGGGTGGGGATGGAAGAGGAGACTCAGATTCCAAGGAACCGGTCTCAAGGGAATGCATCACCTCTGAATCTGGAGCTGGAGTAATTGATATTATGCACGATTAGCCAAAGAGAGAGTGAGTGAGAGAGAGAGAGAGAGAGAGATTGGAGAGGAGAGAAAGAGAGAGAGCGCAGAGAGAAAAAAAGAAAGAGGAGAGAGAGAGAGAGAGAGAGAGAAGAGGAGAGACAAAGAGAGAGAGAGAAGAGGAGAGAGAAGAGTGAAAGAGAGAGGGAGAGTAAACTATATATTATATGAGATCCTTCACTATACCTGCCAACCTTTCCTAACAAAAAGAAATCCTTAGAAATAAAGAAACATATGAAAAGTTCAGAAGTAATTTGAAAACGTAATCTATTTAGCACTTTGTAAGATTTCACAATTATGAACCCAGAGCACCATTTCCACTCCTTCTGTATTCTGCTCTGTAAAGCGCATCTAGACATACACAATTATGCACTTTACAAAAAAACTTTTTTTTTTTTAAATCATTTTTTTTTTCTCAAAAAATGGGTAGCCCCAGAGATCAGGTGCCATTTTTTCATGACCTACTTGCAAGCACCCTTTTGTTAACTCTCACTTTCACCCGGCCCTGATGTAAATACTGTAAATATCCAAACTTCAGAGAGATAAAGAAAAGACTTACTCTCTTTCAGGTGATCTGTCCTCCCTGCAATATTCCTATTAGGGCTGGCAAGGTTGTTGTGTTGGTACATTCTGAGGACACACACAAAAGAAAACGTACATGTGAGAAAAAAAGTGTAAACAGTACTACAAAATAAAACAAGCACACACACACACATTCATGAGTTGGCATACATAAATAACTAGGATGAATAGAAAGATGTAAACAGAGCAAAGATACGCATCATTGAACATGCACAAATTATCCATATCTAACAAGCACAAAGAAATTAACATCTACAGTATAAGCATGGAAGCTGGAGGGGTGAAAGTCTATCCTTGAACAGGTCATGGAATGCATTTAATCCATATATCATAGATCATTTCTCCATTATAACCAAACAATTGAGCAGCAATATGTACTTCTTTTTATATCTAAACAGGTATGTATGTGGTAAATGAAGGGTTGCAAGTCAATTTTAAAAGGCGTAAGTATTCAAACATTAGAAACAATTTTTACCTTGCATAGTTCTGATTTTGACTACCCTCGAATGGATCATTGTAGGTAAAACCAGATCTAGGTCCAGGATCTGTTCTATGCTGAGGACTACTTGAGGGTCTAGTCCTGGTTGGATCCAGACCAGGTCTTATCCTAGCAGGACTAGATCTTGGACTGGACCTCCGTCGGTCTTGTGCTGCCACACCGGTAAGTGTTGTGCCAGGATGCCTAGAGGACTGGGCCATCTTGAGCTGATGTTGTATCGCCTGAAGCTGAGACTGAAGCACATTGATGTTAACCTGGAATATAAATGACATCAAATAAAGTGAAACGGTAATGGTAAAATTGCGCTTCAAGAGTTTTGGGTGCAAAATATCCATTCAATATTATTTAAATATTGCCTTCAGAGGTTTAGATGGCACTACTTAAACCTAAATTTGCAAAAAAGCAGAAATATATGCCCAACTGCTGAATGTTGCGATGCCTTCGTAATATCTATGCAGGCCGGATCAATATGATAATTTATTAAATATATCAATTAGTACGCAGTTTCCCGGCAAAATTTGTATCATCATGTATTAGTCAAAACATATACTTTCACGTGATTGGTAATAAGAGCTTCCATTTCATTTTTTGAGAGGGGGGGGGGGGGGCGTTTCCAAAACTGGTCTATACCTTTAATACAGGTTTCAATGAAAAAATAATGTTTTAGGGAAACAGAAGTATTTGTATAGACAGAGGGTCTTCCTAAACAGCTGGTCAGTTAAAAGCAGGTTTCTCTCTATACAACAGCATACAACTTGCTAACAAGGTATCAAAAGAGGTATCAAAAGAAGCATCAAAACTTCAAAACTAGTGGAGGATTACTTGCTAAATAGTAATACAAGAAACCAAATTCGAATTGATGAACAGACATGGTAATATTTTAAGCCTTGTTTACATATATTACAAGGTAATCCTTTGAAGGCAAGAAAAGCATAGAGCGCTTCACATTTCTGTATGTTATAACATAGCATAAGCTAGTCTGTATATCTAATGATTTTTCTTTATTTACTTGTAAACTGTTCTTATTTTACTTGTTCTCCAACACTGCTCCAGCCACAGTTTTGAGTCTACCGGCTTTATTCAATCAAAGAAAAGGGATTAGAGTGTTAGGGGTGCAAACTGGATTTAGAAGTTAGGGCTAGGATTAGGTACGTACCGGTATACAGTTTGGTCAAGGGTTGAATTTAGGAAATTGGTTCTTGCTGATGTTAACTGCCAGACTGTAGGTATCATACAACTGTACTGTATGGGTGTTTACCTTTTTGAGGCAGTTTATGACCTAATGTATGAACATGGCTTAAAGGTATAGACCAGTTTTGGAAATGCCCCCTCCCCCTCTCAAAAAATGAAATAGAAGCTCTTATTACTAATCATGTGTAGGGATGTTTTGACTAATACGTGATGATACAAATTTAGCCGGGAAACTGCCTACTAATTGACATATTTGGTAAATTATCATATCGAATCGGCCTGGATATATATCGTGTAGTCCCATATACATCTTTCTGTGTACAGTGCTTGTAACTTTACCAAGACTGGGCCAAATTTCTTATCATTTTGATGATTCAAGAACCTTGCAGTACACACCAATACTTATATGCCCGATGATCAACCTTTTCTGATCGATTCCATAACGTTTCTTTCACAATGCATCACATGACCAGAACTGATCTATACCTTTAAGAGAGTTTGCTTACCTCTTGACTGTATCTCAATGATGGATTTTGCAATGTTAGTCCTGGTCCCAATGTTCCCTCTCTAGATTGCCCCTCTGCCATCTCTCTTTCTAATCCATTCACTCTTTGACCGTGCTTGTAGGAATCATGCAAGGAGCGGTTCTCAACCCGCAGGGCTTCCAGTTCAGCATTTGCAATCTATATACAAAGTGTCAGAGAAATAAATTCAAATTTCAACAACAGCAATCCTCTACATCAGGTCTTAAAACAAAATATGTTGTATTGCTCTTTAGGTGCCAAAACATTGGTCGATCGGTCAGAAATCTTTTTATTTTTACTTCTTTCTTTTTTTTAGACTCCCTCTTTGGCCATATATTTTTCAGTTTTGAATGCTTTAATACGTTTTTTTTTTTTTAACGAGTAACTTTTTTTAAAGGGCAATACAACACCTTTTTTTTTTAGGCCTCACACTATATATGTAGAATTTGTATAATCAATTTTCTACGTCACATTTTTTTAAATTTCAAATTCATGCTCTGGAAAATGATGTTCTCTGTTAAAAGAGCAAGAGAGAAAGGGAAAGAGGGCAGTATCTCAAATGGTCATTCAAGGCATGTTATATTAAACATAATATTCTCTCTTGGGGGGAACTGAATAAAACCCAGACAGTGAAAGGTAAAGATAAGTGGCCGCTGAACACTCAATAAAAAGACCATGAAGAGAAAGAAAAAGTTAAAATAAATAAAATAAATCAAACATCTGTACAACTTTGAATGTATGTAAGTCCTGAAGAGTTCTAAAATACACATTAAACTCTTGTCTTTTTAATTTTTTATGCATAATAGCACAAAACCCTCAAACTTATACCTGTAGCTCACTACATGCCCCCTCTTTCCTCTCCATTTCATCTCTCAAATTTTGCTCAGAAGCAGCGAGCGTTGACCTCAGCGTATCCACCATTGCATTTCTTTGTGTGAGGGCGCCAGTCAGAGACTCAATCTCGTGCCGCATTCCTTTCAGTTCTGCCTCCAGATGGCGCTCTAGACCGTCCTCAAGCCGGTTCTGTGTGCGGGGAAAATGGGAAAAGAAATTCTTGAAAGAAGTTTTGATACAACACTTTGTTATCCTTATGTTGACATATATTACTTCTATAGTGGTTTTAAAAAAAAAACATCTTCTAAGAACAGATTTTACTACAAACCACATACAGTCAAACCTGTCTACAGCGCCCCCCCCCCAAGGGAAATACAAAAAAGTGGTCTTTGTAGACAGGTGGTCACTAAAGCAGGTTTGACTGTACAAACAAAGTCTTGTCAACTTTTTGATCTCACAACCTCAGTGCAAAGGGAAGATAGAACCATCTAATATATGAAATCCTGATATAGTTTATGAAAGATAAATGAAGAAAAGGTAGAAAATATATATACCGGTACATATGTATATAACATCAATATAATTATTATCAATATTAGTGTACCAATTCTTAATAACCAACATTTGCAAAAGCTATTTTGTTAGTATTTTAAAAATTCCTAAAAACTGGCGGAAGGCAAGTTCATGACATCATGATGACAAACCCTCTTTGGCCAACTATGAAAGAAGAAGAATTTCCATGCAAATGTTGAATTCCATACCTTTTGTTTGAGATTGACTTGGTGCTGTTGCCTAGTCTCATTATCCAGCCTTCTTAACTCTTCAATCCTCTCTGTCAGTTCTATATTAAGAGATGCATTATCACCCTGCACGTTATCAAGCCTGGTAAAGAAGTAAAACATGAATCCTAATTAAATGATTGGCTGAGGGTCAGTCACATGTTATCGGCTATTAGTACTATCAAGTAAAGTTCAACATGTATTTTTTTTAAAGGGCAAGAGTGCACTTTTTCTAACAAGCTAATATAAATGCTGCTTATAAGTATCGGCTTGCATGGTGATGTAGATATACAGTAGGCTTGACGACGGAAAGTCAACCTGTTCGAAAAGTAGAGCCACTCCTACTACCCATCCTCTTCAACCAGCGCTATAGTTCTCCTTAGAACTATAAGCTAAGAAAGATAACCAACATTCTTTTTCTAGACTACCAACAGCCATTTTCAGGACTACACACACTCAAGAAAGAAAGATTACTGAGAGTCCTTTCCAGGTCTCCCCAAGCCTCCCACTCTCTCACATGGTGCAACCTCAAGCCTACTGTAAAGCTAGTATAAGTGATGTATAATGTATGCAAGAATACCAATGAGCTTGTTTCCTAAACTGATCAAAATATACATAAAGAGGCAAAGCATCTCTTTATTTATGCATATACTGCCAATAATGCTTCCAAAATATAATTGGCTTAAGTCTGCTGGGGAGCTGGCTGAAATTTAAAATAAAGTACTTTAATAATAGCCACAAGCATTAACCAAAGTTGGCTAAGTATTTTTTCTAAGCCAAAAACTAAGTAAAATACTCTTATTTCTGACTTAAAGGCCGGCTGTACTAGTTCAGCCAGAAGGGATTAGACCATCCAGCGAGGTCACTGACAGGTGGCTATCTCATTAACTCAGCTCTCAATTAACATAATAAAAAGAGGATCATGGGGAACCAACAGGCACCGAATGGGGAAGTTTTCTATATAGAGGGAGCAAGTAGCTACATGTATAAGTAGTGCAGTGTGGCTTTAAACCATAGTTACATCTGACCTGTTCTCTAGTCTGTTGATCTCCATCTTAAGTCTAGCCTCAGACTCCACCAGGTCCTGGATCTTCCTCTGAGAGTCCTGGAGCTGGGCCCTGAGTCTGGATGTCTCTTCGCTAGCCTGCATGGTCCTCATTCTTCCCTCATCCTCATGGCTCCTGGAAAGACGCCATAGAAAATGAATGGATGAAAGACGTGACCTTTCTTAAGGTCTATATAAACACCGTCTCTAATGACAATCACTTTGCTGTTGATTTCCTACAGTAACTGAATTCCTAACATCAACACTGGACTTAATGCTATACTTTACCCTACACATAACCTAAAGACCAAATGCAACCCCAACACTAAACATATATTGTTTACCTCATCAATGTTACCATGAACAAATGTCTGTTCATACTTTCATGCACCAAATAATTTGCTCGGCATATTTGCTGATCAACGGAGACAAGAGGCTACAATTATTAGTAGAGAACTACCAATTTGAGATTCACATAGACTTAGTGATCTCATATTTCAAACATTCATAAATCTCATTATTGGTCCGTTCATTTCAAACTTTTTCCATTCTGTTTCTGTTATTTTTTTGCTTTCATACAAATCAACTTATTACAAGGGTTAGATTGCCCTTTAAAAATCAATAGACTAAAGTACTTGATCACAAGATGCACAAGTCCCCTGAGAATACACGCCTTTATCCTGTACATTAGAATGCTGCAGAATTCTTCCACTCTCTGTATGCATGGTACCACTCTTGCAACATGGGGGTGCTTCACAAAGATTCTAAGTCAAACTTAACTCTAAGTTGGGCTTTCAAATTATGGAGAGCCATTTGTAGCCTTTAAAAAAAATATATTCAAAAGCAAAATTTCAAATATTTTAGACTTTTCATAAATTCCATATCAAGAACATGAAATCTCCAATGATAATAGAAAATATGAATGATTTGAATCAACATTTTATGCCCTTTAAAATAACTTTTACACAACTTTACTTTACTTTACACCCCCATGGAGTGCTTGATATATACGACTGGTCGACCTTACCTTAGCATAGCTTCCCTAGAATGGACCTTGCTCTCAAACATAACCATCTGTTCCTTGGTTTCTTTCTGGACCAAGCGAAGGGCCTCCTCCTTGGATTCTAGTTGCTGTTGAAGTGAGCTAACTTCAGATTCCATCATCTGTTACAAAATTAAATAAACAAAAAACAAAAAACAAACAGGAGACAGTAATTATTCTATCAGGCTTTATCAAACTTGCTCACTTGAGACAGTGTTTAAAAAATATGAGGAAGAGAAATAGTGTAAAAAAAGCTAGAAACAGCTATTTGGTGTATTTGGGTTCAGATGATTTATAAATTGAAAAGTTGGGCCAGTTATGCTTAGGTTTAAGGGTCAAGATTAGGGTTAGATCCTATGTTCCTCAGGAAACAGTAAGCTGTTTGGATAGGGGTAAAATCCCCCTGAATCCGATCTCCAAAATATTTGGGGGATAAAAAGGAAATGATTTTATCTTCTTTTTGTTATCAATTAGAAATTCAACATATGACGATGAGGGCATTTTCTTTAGCTACTTTCCAAAAGAGATATAACATAGGTATCACTACAACAATTGTTAGCAACTTCCCTTACTTCCTTAATGACCTCAAAAATATGAAAGACCTCTATTGTAGCTCATGGTATGCTGTACAAGTCATTTTGGTGAAATCCAAAAGGTTCCCTTTTTTATAATGTCATATTTCATGTATGAGGTATACAGTGTATATGTCACATTTCTAATTAAATATGGGATTAATCCTAAAGCTATCAATGTTAGAATAATATATTTCATTATTATGACCTGTCTTTGGTGTTCTTTCCTGCCAACATCCTCCAATAGCTGCTGGTTCTCGTCCACCACCATCCTCTTCCTCTTTCCAGCCTCTTCCAATAGCTCCTCAAGCCGCTGGATAGCAGTGTTCTTACCATCCAGGGTGTCTTGCGCCCTCTGTAGTTGAGCTTCGATGTGAACGATGCGAGCTCTAAAGTCCAGGTCGTTCTGGTCTAGGGCTTGTTGACGCTTAGCTAGCTGATGTTTGTAGGCTGCTGTATCTTGCTGTGTGGAGAAAGGAAGGCAAATTATCAAGAATTGTAAAATGACTGCAAACATAAAATTACTCTGACCAAACTCCACAAATTTAGATTAGGGCATCTCATTTTGCTTTGGACAAAGAAATACCGCCCCCCCCCCCCCTCGAAGTTTAAAATGGATTGGGTTAAAGAAACATGAAGTTACACTTTTGGATAATGATAAAATAAAAAATAAAGACAGGAACATAAAATTGTCTCACAAGATATGCTTGAGATATCAGTTTGTCAACTTTGTAACAGCATACACTCAGGCTTTTGATGGGGAAAGGTTACCAACCTGACAAACCTGGCACTTCTCTGCCAGTTTCTGTCTCTGAGCTTCCAAGCCTTCCACTTGCTTCTTGTATGCTCGTCTCTGGACATCCCATTCATGTGCCTGACTTTCAAAATCCTGGGGGAAGGAATCAAAAGAATCAACTACATTACATCTAATGGACACTTCAGACACTTACATCTAATGGACACTTCAGATGCTACTGCTCGAGGAAAAACTCATTTCATCTAATACATTTCTGTATTTTGTTTGAGAAACATTGTACCAAACATGTATGTGCAGAATGGTTAAATGTATTTTTCCAATTTTCCTGTGATTCCCCCCCCCCCCCCCCCCCCCCTCCCAAGGCAAAATAACTCATTATAGCTACAGACACTGTTCCATTAAAATCTGAAGGATGAGAATAATACATATGTACATGCAATAACTTTATCATTTATATTTGTGTATATGTATGACAAATTTAATTCCTTGTTAAGCACTATTTTTGGGGAAAAATATAATTTTATAGATAGGTGACTCATAATCTTCATCTCTCATCTGTGTATAGACTCGTTTATTAAGGTAGCTTTTTAAAAATGAGAAATAAATACATTTATTACAGTTTTGGAATAATGCAGTTAATGGTTGCTTACCTCAATCTTGGTGTCAGCCATCCTAAGGTCAACCCTGGCTTTTCTTAGCTTGACCTCTGACTCCTCTTTGACCTTTTCCACACTGTCATTCTGTTTGCCATGGTGACGCTGTAACTTCTCATAACTCTTCTGCAGTGCTACCAGCTGAAATGTTATCAGAGAAGACTACATGTTAAAGGCATCGTTTAACAATGTTAAATCTTAGATGCACGGCCCTACGTGTTATCAGTGTCTGTGATATATGGTGTAATATTGAAGCCCTAAAAAAAAAATTGTGATTCAAAATGATCAAGAAGTGCCTTAAAAAAGTAAAAATCTTTGAGTGACCGGTTTTACCTTACTGTACTCATTTTCCCTAATAGACTGTAGTGTTATTAAAAATTTAATTCATATCATAAATATCTCGATAATCAGACAGGCGATCGGCTTGTAAAAGTGATGGGGTTCCTGACTGACCTAAAAGTTTATAAATATGATTGCAGCATGAGCTAAATTCAAGATTTTGTTTCAGAATCTGAGACAAAGTTACCGGATCCCTTTAAGTCTTGTCAAGTGGCCGTGGTTTATTAGACAAGTCACCTGACTATGAAATTCACAGTATTGAATTCAAATCTCTGCCCCAGCAGTAACGTCCTTTGGCAAAACATTAATTTACATTTGCCACTCTCCACCCAAGTGAAGTAAATGGTCCCAAGTAGGAAGAAATTCCTTGAATGCTGGATTATCTTATCATGATAGTTTGGCAAAAGCAGGGGTAATAATATCATTGCAGGGCGCTCAGGGAGGGCAGTTTAAATAATGATGAGGCTACCATGGATAAATGAGACATATTATCATTATTATCTTATTATTTGAATAAGATAAAAACGTTGAAAATCTCTATGACTACCCACGACAACAAATCTTGCATTCATTATTCAAATGATAATTAAAACTAAGTTTGAAAACGTTAAATAAACTCCTTTTTTAATCTAGAATCGGCAAAAATAGAAAGAAATATGAAATTTGCTTACTTCTCTCCTCAGTTGGTCGACCTGCTGCTCGTATTGGGTGACCAATTCCTTCTGAGTCCTTTCCATTCCAACGGATTCATGTGTCAAACGATTGGTCTGGAGGACAAAATATAAACAATTTACATAAAAGATTATCCCCAACTGGACATACATGTATGTGATTAGATCAGACTACATGTATCATATCCAGGCACAGGAAGTGGAAAGGTGTGAGTTAAGTTAATCTGGAATCCAAGCTGATTTACTTTCCCATGAGCAGTGAAAATATATTTTTAACAAAACAAGAGTTACATACATGAAATTACACAATATTCCCTGTTATTGCTTCAATGATGAGGAGTAGTACATTCTAAATATGCCCAGGATAGCTAAAGGTATTGTGATTGTTAAACATTCAGCAAAGAAATGTAGTCAGGCTTGCGACATAATTGCAATAATTACACATCTAACATACTTAATATTATTTCCATGTTCAGAAATTAGAAGGCCATTCAACATTGTCACACAGTTCATTTCAATATATTACATTCTGAATACTATCCAAAGGGTATTCAATATACATGTAGTGTGTGAACTTTTTGGCATAGATTGACCAAAAAAGGGTTTATCTTAACCAATGGTTTTGACCTCCATCAGCTAGTGCACATGTATCTTCATGTCCAATGGGAACAATAATACACTTCTGTATTGTACTTTATTGAACTCGCAAACAATTATTTGTCAAATTACTGCCGTCTTAATTTTAATTGTGTACTTCTCTCTACAGTAAACATTTTCTGTCCCTGTAATTTTTTCAAGTCTCCCAGGAACCTATTCTTTACAAGCTCTGCTTTTCTATAGGTTCCTGCACAGTTTGTACTTTTGTGTGGGTTTCCTTTAAATGATATTAGTTGTCAAACAAATGTGATGACATAACTTTGTAGTCTGATTACCTTGTCAATTACTATAATCATTTTTTTTAAATTATGAAACAATATGTTTTTTATGTATATTTTGTTATCTGTATTATAATTGTGAAATATATGTGAAATGTGAAACCAATAAACTCAACTCAACTCAACTCAACACTTAAATACCCATATTTTAGTCAACCATAGAGGTTCAAACTTCAAACCATTACTTTATAGACTTTGACCCCATCTTGTAAAGAATTGTGATTGATCCACTTTGAATGCTAGCCCTCTAATCAATCACAAATTTTCAAACTGCTATCTCTCCAGTACAGATTGAAATGGATTTTGAGTGTGATCTACAGTGTGAGTCAAAAAAAGTTTACACCTCGAAAATAGCTAATTATTCTAAAAATCATCTATGAACAGTAAATTATTATACATCTTCGGAAAGAGTGTTTTATCCCAAATCATTTGGTATCATTTTTGTGTGCTATGTGTTCACGCTTGGATGAACGGGAGGCATTGTTTGCGAGAGTGCAAAAATCGACTTGCGCCAAAGTTGCTTATGTGATGTTTAAACAAAACAATTGGAATGTGGGCATTAAATCGTTTTTTGCAGATCCAAATAACATCCCGAACAAAATTAATCATGCCTCACATATCGATATCAAATATAAACGAACATTGGTGAGCGTGTTTGTGTGCTTGTGTGACTTTGCTTATGCAAAAAGCAATTATATGCAATGCATTTCATTTGATACATTCAATTCATTCTCTCACTCCGCTAATCCCAACATAATACATGCTGTACATCACTTTGGCGCAAGCCGATTTTTGCATAGATGATTTTTAAAATTAGCAATTTTCTAGGTGTAAACTTTTTTTTTTAGTCACACAGTATTTGAATCAATCGCAACTTTATCTATGATGAAGCCCAGGAGTAACGTTAAACCTCCATGTCGAATTTGAGCCATTAAGAAGATTCCTAGACTAACCTCTGATGTTTTCGCATCCAGAGCCATTTTGATGGTGATGATTTCCTCATCTCTCTGCCTGACCTGAGCCTCTGAGGCTTTGATGCTAGCCTCCCACTCCAGTCTCTTATTGTTGACCATGATGTCAATCTGACGCATCAGCTCCTGCAGCTCGCCCTGGCAAGATGACAGGGATCCATCAAAGAGGCTGGTGCAAAAGACAATCAATAGTTTTTGCATCTTTACTAAACTACACTAACCCAATTCATCCATTGGACTGCAAGAATATTTTACTAAACTTTAAAGGTAAAGACCAGTATTGGAAACGCCCCAATTTCAAAAAATGAAATGGAAGCTCTCATTACCAATCATGTGAAAGAATATGTTTTGACTAATACATGATGATAAAAAATTTGCCGGGAAACCGCCTACTAATTCATATATTTGGTAAATTTGTTTCTCTCATGGTCTGTGAGAGATATAGGGTAGTCCCATATACATCTTTCTGTGTATAGTGCTTGTCAATTTACGAAGAATGGGCCAAATTTCTTATCATTTTGATGATTCCAGAACCTTGCAGATGCTAGATGCTTGATGATCAACCTTTTCTGATCGATTCCACAACGTTTCTTTCACAATGCAATCGCATGACCATAACTGGTCTTTACCTTTAATATAAATTTGAAACACTATTTATTTGAATGTCTGAAATGTTGTACAGTGAAACCAGCTATGCATAGAAAGACCACCTATCCATGAACCCTGTACCTAAAGACCACCTGGCTATAAAGACCATATTTCTTCTCTCCCCTGGCCCTGAGTGGTCTTGATATACAGGCTTCACTGTGAAAATGCTATTTTGATGTATTTCCTTCACCGTGGCCCCACACACTGATGTAAGGCTTATCATTATGCCAGAATCTTCTAGGAGATGTTGAAAGGGATTATCATTTCAAGGTTCAAGATAATAATAATAATGATAATAGCTCATGCCTCATTCTTATATAGCACTTTTCAGGACCGCAGGCTCTCTCAAGACGCTTTACAGATAAGTATTACCCCGGTCATTGGATGCAGGCTCACCTGCACACAACGTATGCACATTCTCCACTCCCTGGGTAGCATTCCAGCCAGACATCATATTTACAAGCGCACAATTGCTAATCTAAGCACTTTAGCTTTCGCATCCTACCGGCTATCCTACTGTATACAATTCTAAAGGCTTACCCAGCCATTTGGGCCTGCTGAACAATGTCTCCCATGGCAGCTTTTCCTTCATCCGCACCTTGTCCAGAAGCTCAGATCAACTGAAGTTACTTCATGCAGGATACATAACAAAGCTTGGTCCAATAGAATACAGTGTTTTTGCTGCAAAGGAAAATGAATGAAAGATTTATGATCAAGCTTGAGTGAAAGATGTCTATCATCAAGAAGTCCTATTTTTTTTCCTTTGAAGAATAAATCATTAAAGGTAAAGACCAGTTTTGGAAACGCCCCCCTCTCAAAACAAATGAAATGGAAGCTCTTAATACCAATCATGTGAAAGAATATGTTTTGACATGCAGCCTTTTCACACACAGCTAAAATTCATCGTATCTAGTGATGATTAGAATCATCGTAAAATTTTAAACATGTTTATAGACAAAATTTCCCAGTGTGAACATCGTTTATACGATGTTGGGATAGATACGAAGTCGCGATCCATACGCCCCTAAAAGCAGGCTGCAGATACGAAGTTCGTATCTAGAGAGCTTGACATTTTGTGTGTGAAAGGAAATTCTTGTTTAAACGTGTTTAAACTAGATGGAGCGTGCGCTTTGATTGACATGACATGACCTTCAATGCGCAATGGCACTACTGCGCATTTTACGAGCAGTAGTTAATCACAAAACAATTAATGATCGCACCGAAATTTCTGTGTGTGAAAGGCTCGTGATTAGTTTAAACACGTTCGAAACACGTTTATACTAGTCATGTTTATAGAATTTTAGCTGTGTGTGAAAAGGCTGTAATACGTGATGATACATGATGCTGGGAAACCGCCTACTAATTGATATATTTGGTAAATCTATTTGGACCTGATAGAGGATGATCAAGCAGGCCCTTTGCTCTTACACACTCTCACTCCTATACACGCTCCCATTCTCACTCCTGTACCATGGACACTCTCATAAACACTCACATTCACACTCTTATACACACTCCCATACACTAGCGAAGGTCTGCTCGCCCATCCCTGGAATTCTCGTGTCAAGAAGTGTTAGGTATTTCGAAATGTTAAGAACAAAAAACAAGAAAGCTCCCTCCCGACCTTCTTCCATTGGAGCAAAATAAGTACATGAATTAAAACCTTGGACACTATCTGATCTGAATTGCCATGTCATGATTGCTACAAAATGTCACTATTCAATATTTATACATTTTAAAAAGGTGTTACAAGTGAATGGAAGCATAAAATGTAAAATGTAAATGTAAAAAGTAAAGTGTAAGCAGACAAAGAGATTCCGTACCATTCAACAGGTAGATAATTAAGAGAAATGGGAAAGTGTAAATGGTGAAGTAAAGAGGTTGTCTGCGAACTTTTATATTAATGGCTGTTTATGAAGATCTGATACTTCCAGCATAATTAAGACAAAATCATATTCATAAACCAAGAAATCTTGCCAAGTTCTTTGATTTCACATACAATTTTTCTTGCGATAGTTTCACTTCAAAAAGGTCATTAACAAAATCTGCAATGGTCCATTGCTGACCAAATTGAAAACGGAATAGCTAAAACTATAAAGAGCCTCTAGATTTAAGTGTAGACTCTAGGTCCTAAATCAGTTTTCTATTAGGAATTTGTTTTCAAAGAACGTCAAAAGTCTCAAAAGAGAAGGCACTCCAGTTAAAACTAGTGGTAAAAATACAACTTAGAAGGCAACGTTGTTGTTTATTACGTCTCATCTCAAGACTCAAATCAAGAGTATAAGATATTCAATTCAAGACAAGACTCTCACTCAGTCTCAGTCGCACAGTCTCTCACTTATCAATCTCACTCTTTCTCATCAGTCTCACCCAAGACAGGATGCAAGATTAAGTCGATGGAACTGCCAATATTAAGTTGAATGTGGAGAGACTTTGCATAAAACATTAAGTACATTAATGCAACTAGGAGTGATTTGCACTTGCAGCTATTTGAGTGTCAAAACAAAGTAAAAGGCAAGTAGAATACGCCCACGACATGTGCAAAAGTTTACAAACAAAATAGTAAACGTATGGGACCGAATCAAAGAAACTCTACAACTTCCTACCTACCCTAGATTTACCACAATGGGATTAACACAATCATACATCATTGTCACACCCCAGATCATGAAAGCAAGTATTTGAAAATATCTGTAGGTAAAACGAAAGAAATTGAACACTTACCTTGGCCTAGGTAAGGCCTTGTTTAGGCTTTACGAAAGTAGAAATGTAAACAAGATCAAAAGACGCGCCTGTTATCGATTGCCTTACGGAATACCGATACCGATACACGGGGAGCTGAGGGCGCAAGCTAATCATGGTTTGTGGTCACAAAAAATTCATAAATAACTTTTATTTTAGGTTGTTAGATCAACTGAGATAATACTGTTCAATACCTAATTTTAATTTTCATCTACGCTGTGCACTAGCGGCGATATAGCAGCATGGTTGTATGTGTTGTTTTTGTTTTTTAAACCTAGCTATCACGCATATAAAAGTTGGAATGACCATAAATATGCATGCATATTTATGGTCATTTGTGCCCCCTTTTGGTAACTCCTTGGTTTAATTTTGGCTCTTTCTGAAACTATAGATCCAAAAGGCAACCGTTATTCTGAAGACCGTGACATATGCATTTCTAAGTACACTAAATCTTAAAGGAGGCAACACCACAAGTTTTGAAGAAAATATCAGAAAACATGTCCCTCCAGAAATATGGAGGCAAATGCTAAAAATGTGAATATATTTATATTATTATGACAAAATAAAGAAGACCTGAAATGGTTATTTCACAACAACAAAAAACCACCACAAGTTTTGATCTTTTTTTTGTTTGGTTAAAATTGTTAGGAATATTGGATCTAGCTTTAGGCCTACCCTTTTTACGATCTCTTCCCCCTCTATACCAAAACGCGTCGTTGACATTGACCAAACATTATAATTACAATTATTGAAAGGATTTAGTACGTTTATTTGTCTGCATCCAGATAGAGCAGCTGAATTACCCCTACGGTGTACATGTCAATTACATTGCAAATTTTAATCAAAATTTGCTGTCAATCTTGTATGTATTAATGAAATTGCCGTCGTTTGCCGCGTGTTGACAAAATATTGCCAGCGTCCCTCAGTCATGGGCAAACATGTATTGTATTTCAGCTGTATTTGAGACGTATAATTCATTTAATACATTCCGTAAGATTGAGATGGTTTTATTATGTGTCAAAAGATTTGAGCATTTTCATAATTGTAATACATGTTGTGTGAAATATATTAGAGCAGAAGTGGTTCTAGAATAATCTTTTGTTGCGGGATGTGGGGGTGCATGGAGGACTCTTTGGTACTTTCGGCGGGGAGGAGCTTAGAATTTCCTGCATTAAATTTCTACATGTGCCTCGCGAATTTGTTTGGAGGGGCCCTGAAGGTATTTCGAGCCCCTCCCCCTCCCCCCCCCCCCCCCCAAATATAATAAAAACACTAATACTGCACCCAAGTCTACATGATTAAAATAAAAGAAGGATGGGAGAGAGAGAGAGAGAGAGAGAGAAATAATTAAAGAGTAAGAAAGAGAAAGAGCGAGAGAGGGGGAAGAGAGTATATGAGAGAGAGAAAGACAAGGTTAATAGAGAAATAATGATAAATAATAAAGAAAAGTGGAGAAGAGAGGGGGAAGCGAGAGTGAGAAGAGTGATAACAGAATTAAGACAGGGTGCGAGTGAGAAAGAGTGAAAGAGTGGGAGAGAGAAGAGAGAGAGAAAAGGGAAAAGAGATTGAAACAGAGAGAGAAAGAGAGAGAGAGGGAGAGAGAGAGAGAGAGAGAGAATGCACGAAAGGGATGTATATTAGATAAAAATCCCAGGTTGGAATTCCAGTTGAAACCAGTAGGCAACTGGTACCAGCTAGTTAAAACCAGTAAGTCAACTGGTACCAGTTGAAACCAGTAGATTCAACTGGTTTTTAATATGGAAATTGAAACAACGCTAACTGAGACCAGTTGATTTACCAGTTGAATTACCAGTTGATTTACCAGTTGATTTACCAGTTGATTTACCAGTTGAATTTTCAGATGATTATCCAGTAATCAATCAACTGATTATCAATAATCATTATTAGCATCTGGCCACCAACTTGACCACATAAACTAACTCTTGCAATTACCCCATCACAATGATCATTTGAAGTAGATTACAGGTGTGTATTGTGTCATTTGACATATATTGTTCGTGCATTATATACAAATTTATACACTTTATTTCTGGTTAGTAATTACATATATATCAATATATCTCATTTTACGTCTTAAATCAGATGAAAAACATGATCAGACATGTGTAATATATTTGTCAATAATTAACTAAGAAAATGTAAATCACAAAATGTATGTGCATTGTCACATTTGCTTGAAAGATCATGATAATTATATTTTCTGTGAAAACATGCAAATCATGAATATTCATAAGAGACATTGAACTGGTTTTTCAACTGGTAAATCAACTGGTATTCGTACTGGTTTTCAACTGGTAAATCAACTGGTAATTATCTACTGGTTTTCAACTGGTAAATCAACTGGTTTTCAACGGGTAAATCAACTGGTAATCTTACTGGTTTTCAACTGGTAAATCAACTGGTAATGATCTACTGGTTTTCAACTGGTACTCATCTACTGGTTTTCAACTGGTAATCATCTACTGGTTTTCAACTGGAATCAACTGGTAATCATCTACTGGTTTTTAACTGGTAAATCAACTGGTGATCATCTACTGGTTTTCAACTGGTAAATCAACTGGTAACCATACTGGTTTTCAAATGGTAAATCAACTGGTAATTATCTACTGGTTTTCAACTGGTAAATCAACTGGTTTTCAACGGGTAAATCAACTGGTAATCTTACTGGTTTTCAACTGGTAAATCAACTGGTAATGATCTACTGGTTTTCAACTGGTACTCATCTACTGGTTTTCAACTGGTAATCATCTACTGGTTTTCAACTGGAATCAACTGGTAATCATCTACTGGTTTTTAACTGGTAAATCAACTGGTAATCATCTACTGGTTTCAACTGGTAAATCAACTGGTAATATCAACTGGTCTCAGATGTCAACTGGTATTTCGGTTCCATGACACATGCTCCGCCGACGATTGCTCCGCCGACATTTACTCCGCAAAACGCGACAATTGCTCCGCGACATTTGCTCCGCGACATTTGCTCCGACGTCAAATGCTCCGCCGACAGGTGCTCCGCCGACAGTTGCTCCGCCGACAGTTGCTCCGCCGACAATTGCTCCGCCGACAGATGCTCCGCCGACAATTGCTCCTCCGACAATTGCTCCGCCGACAATTGCTCCGCCGTCAATTGCTCCGCAAAACGCGACAATTGCTCCGCCGACATTTGCTCCGCCGACATTTGCTCCGCCTTAAGCGACACTTGCTCCGCCGACATTTGCTCCGCCGACATTTGCTCCGCCGACATTTGCTCCGCCGTCAATTGCTCCGCCGACAATTGCTCCGCCTGAAGCGACAATTGCTCCGGTGACATATGCTCCGCCGACAATTGCTCCGACGACATTTGCTCCGCCCAAAAAGTGTCCCATTAAATACAAATGCTACTAGTACTACGACAAATGCTTCGCCGACAATATTTTTTTTTCACGGGTTGTTTTTGTTTCTTTCTTTTTTTCTTCATTTTTTGAATGCATTTCAAGACATTATGTAAATGAAATGAAATGAATGAATGTTGATAATGTGGGAGGAAAAAGCAGTTGCCTAAAAGTCATTTCGAATATACTGAAATAACTTTCCATCTATCACTGTACGTCCCACATAATGTACACTAAACACTCATTACATGTCATGGGAAGTTTTTTTTTTTAAAGTAGAGCAGCAAGCCACATTCCCCAATACGCGCATACCTCCTAGTTAATTTCAAACAGCTCATCAATATGTAAGACCTGAAATTACCTCAATGAAAGAAGACTAATAACATGAGAGGAAAGAAAAGAGCAAAAACGACAACCGTTTTTTGTTATTCCCCATAATGTTTGATTTAAAAAAATAAAAAATAAAATTATAGCTCCTTACGCAAGTTCTCCGGCGAAAGATAATTACTCCGCTCAAAATCTGTTTCATGTATTACTCATTAGCTGATCCAAAGCTCAAGGCTATCTCTCTCTCTCTCTCTCTTTCTCTCTCTCCCATGCTCCTCCTTTTCCTGTTTACACCGTTTTCTTGTCTTCTTTGCTCTTTTCTTTCCTCTCATGCTATTAGTCTTCTTTCATTTCCATCACTTCTTCTCTGCTCCCCCTCTCGAGTTCTATTTCTCTCGTGAAATTGAAACGTAAAGTAATACAATCATGTAGTACATTCTTGTTTAGAATAATATTTTCAATAATATCCAGTCCATTTTCTAAAGGTTTCTTTCCTTTAGTTAAGTGTATGTAGCTTTAATATATATATGTTAGTGTGCAAAACACTCCGTTTCATTCGAGTACTTTGTTTTCACTAAATAATTTAAGGGACTCACGAAGCCACCGGAAGAAGAGCAATTGGCTTATCATGAAGAACTAACATCAAACTGCAACAAACTGCCATCTCATTTTCCCGTCTGAATGGGTTCTCTTCCTTACGTATATAAGTGCCCTTATTTTCTAAACTTTTTTTTTATATTTGTGTGTTTATTAAATGTTCAATCATATAAAAATTACATATTAACAAGTCATTGGTAATAATTAGACAAACAAAAAAACCAATATGTATAAGAACAACTAACAATAATGAAAGGACAAGAAAGTTATAAAAAAAAAACATTATAGTAAAAAAAAATACACTGTACACATATAAATCATAGTTTGAACTCCAGTGCATAAAGGGGAGTGAGGGGGCACAGGAATAAAAGTTAAATCAACATGAGTATCATAAGTCAAATCGCCATTTCTTAAAATGCAAAACAAGCTTGTTCCTTTTTTTCGCTGAGAAATATTCAATATCTTTTTGTTTCTTTATAAAACTCTCAAAAAGATCAATACTTGGTAAATCCCCCTTACTTATTTTCTAAACTTCCATGATGACCTATTACATTGTATAATGCTTTACCTAGTAAGATGCATTGATCGAGGTAATTTCAGGTATTACATATTGATGAGCTACTTCAAATTAACTAGGAGGTATGCGCGTATTGGGGAATGTGGCTTGCTGCTCTACTTAAAAAAAAAAAACTTCCCATGACATGTAATGAGTGTTTAGTATACATTATATGGGACGTACAGTGATAGATGGAAAGTT